TTCAGGAGACCAAATACTTCTGTATGGAAACTTGTTTAAAAACACTTAGAGAATAAAATAGCTGCCGTTATCTGAAGATTGAATTGTAAGGCTTATCAGGTGGAATTTTCATCTGTCAGCAGACATGTATTTTGCAACACTTCTTGAGGCCCATCTTGAGTAATTTCTCCTTTTGCTGAAACAGCCAAATTCTCTGGGAAGAAAAAGGAACTTGGTTCTTGACATATGTGTGCTTATATTTCCATGTAAACTTTGAGCAGTGCTGCAGTTGTACTATAAACTAGAATTTTAGAAGATAGGAGGAATACTTGCTAAAGATTTTTAAGGGTAATAGAGCCAAACAGTTAAAGACAATGAAGACATTTTCTTTAGTACTGTTGTAGTAAGGGAAGGAGCTGAGCTCAATTCTGAATATAACAAAGACAAGTGGGGATTTGTAGCCAACAAGTAGATTGGGAGGATGATTGGATGGAAAATTACTAAGGGGAGGAGGATTCTTGCTAAAGACAGGCCAAGGACTTACACATCAAGGGTGGAAGATGAGGAACTTGATAATATATCAAGAGTAGGAGGAAAGGCCCTAACCGGTTTGGCTCAGTGGATAGAGCGTCGGCCTGCGGACTCGAGGGTCCCAGGTTCGATTCCGGTCAAGGGCATGTACCTTGGTTGTGGGCACATCCCCAGTAGGGGGTGTGCAGGAGGCAGCTAATCCATGTTTCTCTCTTATCGATGTTTCTGGCTCTCTATCCCTCTCCCTTCCTCTCTGTAAAAATATCAAAATATATATTTTTAAAAATTTTTTAAAAAGAGGAAGACTTAGCAGGATTCTTGCTAAAAGTGGACGCTGAATGACTAAGTTAAGGCCTACTTGAGAAGAGAGCTTAGAGGAACCTAACTAAGGTTTGCTCAAGGAGAGACTGTCCAGATATCATTGCCCTGGAAAGGTAACTTTTAGGTTTCCATCCGAGAAAGATTAGAGTGGCTGATAACTTTCTCTTCAGTTCTATGCTATAGCTTACATGTGAGTTTGAACTCAGCAGAATTGGAGAAGTTGCTCTTTGTCTCCCAATAAACTCATCTAGATAATTTTGGGGACTTGTGGAAAAAATGCCCCCAGTACCTGGTGAAGTGTATGTGTCTCTTCCCACAGCATGGAGTAGTTCTCTCTGCTTCATGATTGCACTTCTATTGTGGTGACTCTTTCCTCTCATTTCAGGTCCATAGCAAAGGACTGAAGCTAGGAATTTATGCAGACGTTGGGAAAAAAACCTGTGCAGGCTACCCTGGGAGTTTGGGACACTATGACATTGATGCCGAAACCTTTGCCGACTGGGGAGTAGATCTGCTAAAATTTGATGGTTGTCACTGTGACACTCTGGAACAGTTGGCAGATGGTATGTTTCATTCAAGAGATTTAGCATGAGCAAAGAGAAGAACTTTGAGGCCAAGGTAACTGGGTATCCACAGAACTAATCTTCCCATTTTAAGTACCCAGTCACAATACTGGAAAAATAATTATTCTCAATATGCCAGAGCTCCTACCTCTTCTCTTCTTTCAGTTTGTCCATGCACTCATTCATTCATGCAATATAAAATCCATGCTTACTTAATCACAGCTCATACTGTGCACTTTTAATTGAAGAGGGCTCTGAGTTAATTACAAATAGTAATTCTAACTCTCCATAACATAATTTGAGAAAGCATCTAGAATGTCAAACAGCCACAGAGAAAGGGGCATCTTCATGCCTGCCTTTCCTCAATATATGCACCATCCCACACTATGTCCTCAGAACAATCCCAGCAGTCTGGGAGGTATTACACACAATTTCAACACAGAGCAGCTACTTGTCTCTGCTGCTGGTTTAAAAATATAAGCGTGGCCCTTCAGGGCAGACCCCGTTGAAAGTCCCTTTTGTCCCCTTATTTTACCCATTGTTCTCTCATTCAGGTTATAAGCACATGTCCTTGTCCCTGAACAAGACTGGCAGAAGCATTGTGTACTCCTGTGAGTGGCCCCTTTATATGTGGCCCTTTAAGAAGGTGAGCTAGTGACTCCAGAATTCAATAGAGCCTTGGTGATAGATTTTCAGGACTTGAGAACAAAGGTCTCCTTCAAAGTCCCACCTTACTTAACAGTCTCATCCTACCATCTCCACCTACCCCCAACAATTTTTCCAGCAGCACCAGAGAGTCCTTGTTAAAGTGTAAGTGGAATCACATCACTCCCCTGTTTAAAATGCTTAACGGGCTTCCCATTTCACTTGGAATACAATCAAACCCCACTGATCTGGCCCTGGACTATCTCTCCAACCCCATTCCCCATCACTCGCCCTCATTGCACTGGTGTTCTTTCCCCCAAACACTCCAAGCCTATTGCTGCCTTGGGACCTACTGCTTATTGTTTTCTTCCCCAAGATTTCTGAGCTCCTTCTTAACATTGAGGTCTCAGACCAGATACCACACACTAGACTGATCTTCTCTAACTACTCTAAAATAGTGTTCTATCCTGCCCTGGTCAGGTGGCTCAGTTGGTTGGAGCATCGTCCCATACACCAAAAGGTTGCAGGTTTGATTCCTAGTCAGGGCACATACACAGGTTGCGTGTTTGATCCCCGCACCACGGGAGGCAACCAATTTCTCCCCCCACCAAACCCGTCTCCACCCCCCATCCCTTCCTCTCTCTAAAATTAAAACATACTCTCAGGCAAGGACTTTTAAAATATATTTATAAAAAATAGTGCTCTAACCCAGCCAGTGTGGCTCAGTGGTTGACCATCAACCTATGAACCAGGAGGTTGTGATTCAACTCCCAGTCAGGGCATATGCCTGGGTTTTGGGCTTAATCCCCAGTGTGGGGGATGCAGGGGGCAGTTCATCAGTGATTCTCTCTCATTGATCTTTCCATCTCTCCCTCTCTGAAATCAATAAAAAAATATATTTTTTAAAAAGTGCTCTATCCATTCATTCTTTATCACATTAACCTATTTAGTTTTCATCAAAGACCTTAGCACTATATAGAATTATATGTTAACTGACTTACTGTCTGTCTCCCCACTAGAATATAAGCTCTAGGAGGGCAGGGACATTGTCGGACTTTATCACTAGCATATGGTAAGTGTTGAATAATTATAGAATGAATCCCTGTTATTTCTTTTTTTTGTTATTAATCTTCACCCAATGACATTTTTCCATTGATTTTTAGAGAGAGTGGAAGGGAGGGGAGAGACAGAGAAACATTGATGTGAGAGAGACACATCCATTGGTTGCCTCCTGCATGCACCCTGACCAGGGCCAGGGATCAAGCCCACAACCACAGTGGAACCCGGGACTCTTCAGTCCTCAGGCCGCTGCTGTATCCACTGAGCCAACCTGGCCAGGGCTATTATTTCTTTCTAATCTCTAAAATAATCTTTACCTTTCTCTCAACATCTTAAACCTTGGATATCCCATGTGCCTATTTACAAACTTGTATTTGTTCTGTTAACAAAGTATATGCCTAGGATTCAGATTCTTATGTTTGATGAGTTCTATGTAATTTTTCAGCTGATTTTACTTATTAAGTCATTTGTTATTTGTGATTTTAAAAGTAATACAGTACATGTTCATTTTAGAAGTTTCAAAGTAGTGAGGTATAAAAAAAATCCTCCATAATCCCAGTACTTAGTTACCATTGGTAAATTTCCAGCATAATTATTTTTTATGCCATTTTAAGTAGAAATTTTAAGTTATATGGCCTAATTCTGAAACAAAATTTTACAATGAAGTTCCATTATAATAAGAATTTAGCTCTCCTCAATGGAGACTTTTAAGCTATAAACTAAAGAGAAGGCTACAAGTTCTTCCTTTAAACTTGACTATTTTCATCTCGCAAGAATATTAGTAGAAAGTAAACAGAAGAGTTACAGTATCTCTGTTTTCATAGCCCAATTATACAGAAATCCGACAGTACTGCAATCACTGGAGAAATTTTGGAGACATTTATGATTCTTGGCAAAGTGTAAAGAGTATTTTGGACTGGACCTCTTCTAACCAGCGGACAGTTGTTAGTGCTGCAGGACCTGGAGGTTGGAATGACCCAGATATGGTAAGAACCTGAGCTGTCTGTGTTCAAACCCTTTGCAGTGGGCCTGTTTCCTACTTGACATTCAAGGTAAATTGAAAAGTTCCTTGGAGCAGCGTTTATGTGAGAGTACTCAAAGCAGGGTGCCATGGAAAGTGGTTTCTGTGTCTAGATAACTTTAAGAATGTTTGTCTTTTCTCATATGAATTCTAATTTCACTCTTTGTCCCAGTTAGTGATTGGCAACTTTGGCCTCAGCTGGGATCAGCAGATAACTCAGATGGCCCTCTGGGCTATCATGGCAGCTCCATTATTCATGTCCAATGACCTCCGACACATCAGCCTTCAAGCCAAAACTCTCCTACAGAATAAGGATGTAATTGCCATCAACCAGGACCCCTTGGGCAAGCAGGGGTACCTACTTAGAAAGGTATAGTAAATGTTCTCTGGAAGAAAATAGGAATTAGCCAAGAACATGTTCTCCTGCCTTCTAGTTTAAAATTCATCCAAATGGCCCTGCCCAATTTGGCCCAGTGTTGGCCTGTGGACCAAAGGGTCCCGGGTTCGTTTCAGGTCAAGGGTATGTACCCCGATTGCAGGCACCTCCCCAGCCCAGGCCCTGGTCAGGTGTGTGCTGGAGGCAACCAATCGATGTGTTTCTCTCACATTGATATTTTTCTGTCTTTCCCACTCTTTTCCACGCTCTCTGGAAATCAATGGAAAAATATCCTCGGGTGAGGATTAAAAAAACAATAAAATTCATCCAAATGTTTGTTTGGGTTATGTATTTAAGATGGCTTTATATTCAAATGCCAAGTTTGTCTTGGGCCTAAATCTATTATATATTAAGATATGCACTGATCTTTTGAGAATATATTTTTTAATCTCACTATGATCAGTAATGAAGCTTTTTTGCTACAATCATTACTTTAGTTCCCAAACATGCTACAAGATAACTTTAATTTTTCCTAGAAGTGTTTGGTAGTTTGGACAATAAGACTGAATGCTACAAGGCAGCTTACTGCTAGTTACCAAGCTATCACACCTATTTTCTTGACTTGCTTTTCAGGAAGACAACATTGAGGTATGGGAACGCCCTCTCTCGGAGTTAGCCTGGGCGGTGGCTGTGGTAAACCTGCAGGAGATTGGTGGACCTCGTTCTTACACCATCAGTCTTGCTTCCCTGGGTCAAGGAGTGGCCTGTAATCCTGCTTGTCATATCACAGAGCTCCTTCCTGTGAAGACAAAACTTGGGTTTTATGAATGGACTTCATTTGTAAAAACTCGAATAAATCCCACAGGCACTGTTTTGCTTCAGCTAAAAATAAGCCAGACTACATTTTAAAAGCTTCCTTAAAAACTCTTGTATTGATTTTTCTTAGAGGGATAGAAAGAGAAACAAGTTGTTGTTCCACTCAATCATGCATTCATTGGTTGATTCTGGTCATGTGCCCTGATGGGGATCCAACCCACAACCTTGGCTTACCTGGATGATGCTCTAGCCCAGTGGTTCTCAACCTTCCTAATGCCGCAACCCTTTAATACAGTTCCTCATGTTGTGGTGACCCCCAATTTCATTGTTACAAATTGAACATAATTAAAGCATAGTGATTAATCACAAAAACAATATGTAATTATATATGTGTTTTCTGATGGTCTTAGGCGACCCCTGTGAAAAGGTCGTTAGACCCCCAAAGTGGTCGCGACCCACAGGTTGAGAGCCGCTGCTCTAGCCAACTGAGCTACCCTGCCAGGGCAAAAAAAGCTTCCTTAAAAAATCGTATTTTGTTGCCAATGACAACCACACTTGTACTTTTCTCCCATTCTCACTTCAACTATTCTTTTATTTCCCTGAATAAAATTTCACTACAGCCCTGGCCAGTGTGGCTGAGTTGGCTGGGCATCCTCCCATGCACCAAAAGGTTGCCGGTTGGATTCCTGGTCAAGGCACATGCCCAGGTAAAAAATTTCACTACAGAAACCAACGGTGCAAAAGACCTAAAGTATGTTTTAACAATTCCTTTGCCCGCCCAGTGATTAAAGTTGGAAGACTGTCCTGGCCAATTGCTCAGTTGGAGCATGGTCCCACATCCCGAGGTTGCTGGTTCGATTACCGGTCAGGCACATACAGACTGTGAACAATTGATGTTCTGTCACGTCTTTTTCTCTCTAGGATCAGTGAACATATCCTCAGGTGAGGATTAAAAAAAAAAATTGGAAGTCTAATCAGTCAGCTGATAAAAACTGCAATGAAATTGGTGAACCATGACTTAGTCATACAGATACATAAATTTGGAAGCAGCCCTAGCCGGTTTGGCTCAGTGGATTGAGTGTGGCCTGGGGACTGAAGGGTCCCTGGTTTGATTCTGGTCAAGGGCACATGCCTGGGTTGCAGGCTCAATGCCCAGTAGGGTTTGTGTAGGAGGCAGCTTATCAGTGATTCATCATTGATGTTTCTATCCCCCTCTCCCTTCCTCTCTGAAATCAATAAAAATATCTCAAAAAATATAAATTTGGAAGCAAATTGTTCCATCTGAGATGCCCTTCCAGTTACCAAAGTAGGTAGCATATTTACTTCGTCATCCAGTTTTACCGCACAAAACTCAGTAAGATGTATCCTTTATTCTTAAGGTATTACATGTGTTATCCTCCCATTGCCCCCCCACACCCCCCCATGCCCTCACCCCCTGGTGTCTGTGTCCATTGGTTAGGCTTATATGCATGCATACAAGTCCTTTGGTTGATCTCTCCCCCTTAACCCCACCCTCCCCTACCTTCCCTCTGAGGTTTGAGCAATGCTTGTCTCTGGATATCCTTTATTACTAAGAGCTGAATCTCCGTAATATAATAGTACACAAAGATGAAAGGGATTTGAATTTGAAATAGTTAGGCATTTTTAAAAATGGATTATCACTGCTAGGTTCCATTTAGGATTTTAATTCACTAGAAATATTGTCCTTTGAATCAAGAAAAGAATTTGTATAAATTTGAGATCGGGGGTTGGGGGGCAGCCAGCATGGCTCAATGATTGAACCTTGACCTATGAACCAGGAGGTCAAGGTTTGATTCCTGGTTAGGCCATAGCCTGGTTTGCAGGCTCAATCCTGTGGGGGCATGCAGGAGGGACTGATCAATGATTCATCATTGATGTTTCCATCTCTCCCTTTCCCTCTCTGAAGTCAACAAAAATGTATCTTTTAAAAAAGTTTAAGGGGGAGTGGGTGTATTAAAACATTTGGATGGTACTAGTAGTCTGAAGACATGTAATGCCTAGAGAACAGGGCCCAAATTCTGTACAGGAAGCAACCAGTGTTTTTCCTCTGAAAAAAAAAAAATCAATAAAAACATCCAAGGATTAAAAAAAAAATGATTGAACTCAAAGGTATGAGACAAATTATTTTACTCTTGGTAAGCTTAACATTCACTATGGATACCAATAATTCTTACTTCATAACAGCAAAAGGGATCCCATGAAGCCCCAAGTGACTAAAGTGCCATCACAACATCTGATTTGAGTTCAACCAAATTCAGTCCAAAATGAGCTAAGTACCCAAAACCATTAAGCTTGAATTTCCCCTTATGGGACACTAATTTACTTCCTTCCCAAATAGAACAATTGCAACCACATGAATTGAACATACCATGATTTTATTGTCATATAATCAAACAAAATATGAAGATTAGAACTGGATCACTTGACCCTGCAATAGAAAAGGGGGGAAAAAGTGAGTTTTTCTCTTGCAAAGAACCTCTGTTCCATCAAGTGTCTCCTCCTGATAATTCTCATTCTCCCCCTCCCCGCTCTGGTGTGGCTCAGTGGTTCAATTCCAGTCAGGGTACATGCCTGGGTTGCAGGCTCAGCCCCCTTGCAGGAGGCAGTCAATCAAGATTCTCATCATTGATATTTCTCTCTCTTCCTTCCCCTTTGAAATCAATTTAAAGAATATTTTTTAAAATTCATGTAAATTTCATTCTCCCTTTCTGCCAAATACCAAAAACCTTACACCTTCAGCTATGGATCAAGTATTTTGAAAGGAGTGCCCCTGATCTTGATGCCACAGAGTGGGCAGAAATACTCACCTCTCCAAATATAATGAAGGTATATAAAAAAGATTGCACCTCCCATCCCAAATTGTATTACCTTTCTCTTCTTATCTCCTCCCAATTCAAAATGCTTGCATCTCTTAATAGCCAGCATTCTCTTAGATCTACAGTTAGGCTCAACACATTCAAGCCTCAGCACAATCTTCTTTGTAGTCTTAGCCTGGAAAAGAAATTAAGTGATACTACTCATAAATCACTGCAAAAAAATGTTTCTTCAAAACTATGCATCGGGTTAACTACCTTAATTTGTCTTGGGCTGTAGAGAGAAAACATAAATGTGAAAACCAACAGATTTAAGATAAAATGTAATAGCAAAGGTGGAAGGTTATCTAATTGCCATCAAGTTCTCCATTCACATCAGGCATCTTAGAGGAGTTCTTATCAAAGAGGCACTCATGCCACCTTGAACTTGTGGCTGTTCAGCAGCTTTACAGTTAAATATTCTGAACAATCAAAAATGGGTCATCCAAATTCATGCACTATTAAATAAAAAATACTTTTGCAATTCTTAAATAGGATTAAGAACTGTTATGTAAGAAATTTGTGCATTCAACTGTTATTTAACTTAAGGTACACTCCACATAAACACTCAACTTTTTAAGCCTGCTCCTGTAGTCAGAATTCTGCTGCTAGTTTTGCAGTTCTCAAATCCAAAACCTAGCTAGAACCTCCCCATCTTCTAATCAAGTTACCTAAATGTGAAATGGTAATCATTCCTTTTATCACTTTGCTATCAAAAATCATTTACTGCACCTAAATGAACACTAAGTCATTCCTTAATACTCTGGAACCAGGCAAAACGGAAGAGCAAAGTGCTAAAGCAAACATTGTTCATGGGAATGCTCTTCTAGGCACTGTGTGTACTTTAAGGAATAGCCAAATCACCTGGAGGAAAAACAAACACATTCAGCCTGAGAATGCAGTGGGAGGTCTGAATGGCGATTTAAGGAGGCTTATGACTTCATGAGATAGATAGCAGACACATTGCAGGCTTCTGGACCGAGAAGCAAAAGAACATTCTTACTGCCAGCAAGAACTGAGGCTTCACTAGGACTGATGACAGATAAAAATCAACCATTGGCCCTGGCTGGTTTGGCTCAGTGGCTAGACCATCGGTCCTGGGCTGATTCTGGTCAAGGGCACATGCCCGGGTTGTGGGTTTATCCGCAGTAGGGGGCACGCAGGAGGCAGCCAATCAATGATTCTCTTACATTGATGTTTCTATCGCTCTCTCCCTCTCCCTTCCTCTCTGAAATCAATAAAAATATAGTTTTGTTTCTTAATCCTCACCCAAAGATATTTTTCCATTGGGTTTGTTGTTTTTTTTTAGAGAGTGGGAGAGGGAAAGACAGAGAAACATTGATGTGAGAGAAACACATATGTATTCGCTCGACCAGGACTTGGGCTGGAAAGGAGCCTGGAATCGAACCCAGAAGCCTTCTGTCCACATGCTAACGTTCTATCCACTGTACCAAACCAGCTAGAGCAAAATATATATTTTTAAAAATCAACCAATGGATGCTAAAGTGGAAAAAATAGATGTTTCCCTATCTCACTCTCGAATCAGAAAATAATATATATATATTGCAATGGCACAGTATTGTAGACAAACCTTAAGTTGTTGCACTCCCAGCTCCACTGTCTACTGACTGAGATAACTTCGCTGAAACTATGAAAACATATACCTATATTGTAGAGGTGTGTGGGCTAACAACAAATGCAAGGTCTTTACTAGAGTCAGTGGGTAATATATCCAATAGTAATTACTACTCACCTTTTTTCGGAAAATTGGCTTAGTCTGCCCACCGTAGCCACTTTGCTTCCTGTCATAACGCCGCTTTCCTGAGAGAAGTTGTTACAGTATGCCAAAGTTAATAAATCACAACAGTCACATGAAAGTCTTACGGCTTTATCTTGGGTTTTCAAAAAGAAATATAAATGCCGAAGCGGTGGGGAGAGGGGGGGTCTACACAAATGCCACATTCAAACCAAATCCCATGCAAAAGACCATCTTACCCTGTGCATACAGAGAATCCTTGCCCTTCTTGTACTGTGTTACTTTGTGGGGTTGATGCTTGCCACACTTCTTACAGAAAGTTCGGCGGGTTTTAGGAACGTTCACCTAGTAAATAAACCGTCCAGAACGTGCAGTGTTATCAGATGCCAATGGCACAATGGCGACCCAGTTCACACTAAGGCAGCCTACGAGGACTCGACTCTCAAATTCCTGGCTAACACACCACTCACTAGAAGGTGGTCCAGTCCCATGTACTTCACGTACAGCTGCTGCCTCTCACGAGCCCCAAAGTGGAAAGAGACCATATTCATGCCACCTCCCACTAAGTCTACTTCTTTGATGCCGTCATTTCAATTCCTGGCCCCAAAGCCAGGTCCCTTCGGAATCGATCCCGGCAACATTGGGTTTCTTTGATACGAGTCCACACAGAGGCCTGGACCTACCCCGGGATGGAACTTTTGCTGGGGGAGAGAAGATTAAACTGGATGTTTCCCGGCCCGACCCCAAAGTCCTACCATGTCTGCGAGAGCTATCAGCAGGGAAAGGAAGATGATAGGCCGGAAACGGAAGTATATAGGAGGTTCCTGGTCGCGCTTCCTCATGGGAGCGACCATAGAGTCTAAGGCTCTGTGCGCTGCGCCGTCTGGCGGCTGAGAGGACTCTATTCGGAGCCGCGGAAGGGAGCTTAGGGAAGGGCTCCCGCTAAGGCTTCCTTCCGCCCCCTAGCTTTGAGACTTTTCTTCGCTTAATCACTTTGGCAGACGCTGATTCCGTGCAGAATTAAGGGAAGGAAGCAGCGCTCTTTCAGACACTCTGGCCTCCATCTCCCTAATGAAAGCCAGGACTAGGGTCAAGTGGAGGGGTCCTTCCCCTGCATGTCCCATTCCTGTTCCACCTCAAGGACACTGTGACCATCTTTTGAACAGTGAACCAACTTCTGGTTCACTGAGGGCTTGGAGGGAACCAATGCTCTATTTCATCCATTACATGGCCAGTTCCAGTGCTTTGGGCACAATAATCAAATAATCATGCTCATAAATGTCTAATTACAAACTAAGTACCTTGTTAAAAAAAAAAAAAAGGAACAATGACCAGCACTAAAGCACCCCTTTTTATTGAGGGAGCAAGTTGGCTGCCCTAAATTCTGAAAAGTGAGGATGAAATTGTTCAGCCCATGCAATAGCAATAATCAGGCCAGGAGATAGAAAATATCCAGCAGCTCTTCCCTTCCCTGTATACCTGTATGAACAAAAAAGAGGCCATATACTAAACCTGACAAGCTCAATAACCAAAAGTAACCACAGGATGGTCAGAACATAAAAATTCCTAACTGGACTAATTTAAGGGGAAATGTTCAAAACACTATTACCTGGTTTCTCTGCAGACTTACCTCTTCCCCAGTGGCCCACCAATGATATCACTCCAAGTCTGAGTGATCTGGCTGTGTTAGATTCTCTCTCCCTTTGTTTTGTTTTGTTTTGTTTTTTACATGCAGCAATATTCGTGGTTTTATTTTACTCTTAGGTAGAGTTAATTGCAATCAGATTGTAGTAAGATTTATCTGAACAACAGTTACTAATTTTAGGATTGGTTAAATGCTATGTCACTGACTACGTCTGGCTGTGTCCCAGAAAAAAAATGTATATACACGCTTTGAATAATTATAATTTGTTTATTAAAATACATTTCATTTTTAAAATTGAGCTATCAGCTGTTAAAGTGTGCATACATTTTTGGAGGACACCCTGTATTTTGTGACTTTGTTATACTTACTAAATGGCTTCCAGGATCTCCTTTTAATGCATTCCTTTAAGTGGTCCCTGGAAACATTGCTACCCATTTCCATCTTCTCTACCTCTTATTTGACAGAATAATTGGATATATGTTCACCTTTATGGCTGCAATTATAGCTTTAAGTTTCTTTGAGTGAAATTGTTTAAGAGTGAGTAACCTCATATACCCAAATCATCCTCTAGGTCAGTGATGGGGAACCTTTTGAGCTCGGCGTGTCAGCATTTTGAAAAACCCTCACTTAACTCTGGTGCCGTGTGACATATAGAAATTTTTTGAGCCCTAACCGGTTTGGCTCAGTGGATAGAGCGTCGGCCTGCAGACTGAAAGGTCCCAGGTTCGATTCCGGCCAAGGGCATGTACCTTGGTTGCGGGCACATCCCCAGTAGGAGGTGTGCAAGAGGCAGCTGATTGATGTTTCTCTCTCATTGATATTTCTAACTCTTTATCCCTCTCCTTTCCTCTCTGTGAAAAATCAATAAAATATATTTTTAAAAAAGAAATTTTTTGATATTTGCAACCATAGTAAAACAAAGACTTATATTTTTGATATTTATTTTATATATTTAAATGCTATTTAACAAAGAAACATCAATCAAAAAAATGAGTTTGCATGTCACCTGTGACAAGCGTGTCATAGGTTCGCCATCACTGCTCTAGGTGCTGTTCAAGGTGGCTAGCATCTGCCCCAGACTGTGCTCACCTAGCCATTAGAATTCCTGGAGCAAAAAGAGTAGAAAGTACAGGGCAGGCAAAGCCAAGAGGAGGAAGATGTTTTTAAAAAATGAAGGGACATATGTAATACTTTCAACAATAAGAATTTTTAAAAAGTACAAAATAACGGGTACAGAATAGTCATGGGGATATAAAGTACAGCATAGGAAACATAGTCAATAATTTATATATATATAAAAGCCTAATATGCAAAGTGTCCCCTTGGGAGTTCGACTGACCAGGAGTTCGATTGCTCCCTATGACATGTGCTGACCACCACGGGGTGACACGGAAAGAAGGAAGGCCCCGGCCAGCAGCTGGTTAGCGCTAGGAACCCTACTCATGCATGAATTTTGTGCACTGGGCTTCTAGCATTATAATAACTATGTATGGTGTTAGATGGTACAAGATTTATCGGGATGACCACTTTGTAAGTTATATAAATGTCCAATCACTGGGTTATGCACCTGAAACTATACTGTACCTCAACTCTAATTCAAAAATAAAAAATAAAAAACATTTTAAAAATCCTTATCAAATACACACACACACACACACACACACACATTAGAGGCCCAGTGCATGAAATTTGTGCATGGGAGGGTGTCCCTCAGCCCAGCCTGCACCCTCTCCAATCCAGGACCCCTCAGGGGCTGTCCAACTGCCAGTTTAAGCCCGATCCTCTTGCAATCCAGGACCACTGGCTTCTAACCACTCACCCGCCTGCCTGCCTAATGCCCACAACTGCCCTCCCCTGCCATCCTCTTGCAATCCAGGACCACTGGCTTCTAACCACTCACCTGCCTGCCTGCCTAATGCCCACAAATGCCCTCCCCTGCCAACCTGGTCACCCCCAACGGCCCTCCCCTGCCAGCCTGGTCACGCTCAACGGCCCTCCCCTGCCAGCTTGGTCGACCCCAATGGTCCTCCCTGCCGGCCAGTTTGCCCCCAATGCCCCCCCCCCGCCAGCCTGGTCACCCTCAATGGCCCTTCCCTGCAGGCCTGGTCACCCCCAACTACCCTCCCCTGCAGACCAGTTCATCCCCAACTGCCCTTCCCTGCAGGCTTGGTTGCCCCTGGCTGCCCTCTTCTGCTGGCCTAGTCGCCCCCAACTGCCCTCCCCTGCCAGCCTGATGGCCCCTAACTGCCTCTGCCTCAGCCCCCACCACTATGGCTTTGTCCGGAAGAAAGTCGGGCATCTGGAAGATGGCCAGTCGACCTGGTCTAATTAGCATATTACCTTTTTATTAGTTTAAATATATATAGACAAAAATATTTTTATTGATTTCAGAGAGGAAGAAAGAGGGAGAGAGAGATAGAAACATCAATGATGAGAGAGAATCATGGATTGGCTGCCTCCTGCACGCCCCCTACTGGGGATCAAGCTCACAACCCAGGTATGTGACCTGACCGGGAATTTAACTATGACCTCCTAGTTCATGGGTTGACACTGAGCCACACCAGCCAGGCAGAGGAAGCTTTTATGGAGAGTGAAACTTTACTTTTCTTATCTTTCTGCCAATACCATGTTTCAAGAAAATAACTCTTTAGTTATTAGTGACGCTTAGTTAATTGTTTTTAGTGACACTTTCTTCTGTTAGGTCCCGTGAGTTGTTTCTGCCCTTTATCTGTCACTATTAAGCCTTCCAAGGAATCTTTCCAGACATGCTGGTGTTTTGCAGTCTGTGGTCGCAGGGCTGGGACACTACAGTGACTGCCTCCAGCACAGATATCCTTAACCAGTCAGTACCAACATCATTCTTTATCCAGAAGACTAAAGGCACTGCAACTTTAAACATTTCAGTCTGTTTACTGAGGCACCGGCAAGTCCCAGGGCTAACATAGAACCTTCCCTAGAGGGATTACTGGAGTTAGCTGGGTATGAAGGTGGGTCAAAGGAAGTATCAGTGGGTAGAGGAATGAACAAAATGGCAGTGCTTCTTTGGCTCAGACTCCTAGATTGCTTTACAGGACAGAGCTTTGGGGAAGAACATCATCTCATCATAGCTACTTTTTTCACTTTTGTTATATATGTGTTTATTAGATTATTTGAGTATTGACCTTTTATTAAAAGCATCAATGTGGTGTTTTGCTGTTGGAAAAAAAAAGTTCCTAACTGAGCAGGTCATGGGGAGTAGTCATGTCCCAGACATATAGCTTCCTCAGTAAAGGTCAATCTTTAATTTAAGCAAGCCCTGTCCATTGTTCTTCTGCATCTAGGATAACATACATGTGAAATATCAGAATAATTTTCTTTTCTAGATGCCTTGAAGTCACAGCCACAACTACCAGAGCACAAGACCACTAGAGCATGAACAGACTTAATTGTTATCTTGTTCCCTAAATACCATCTCTATGTGCTATAAATGTTAATTAACTATCCTGTAACCACCAAATGTAAAAGAAGTATATGTTTCTCCATTTAGCTTTTTTAAAAAATTATTTTTATTGATTTTAGAGAGAAAAGGAGAGGTAGAGAGAGATAGAAATATCAATGATGAGAGAAAATCATGATTGGCTGCCTCTTGTAGCCCCCCACTGGGGATTGAGCCCCTAGCCTGGGGATGTGCCCTGACTGGGAATTGAACTGTGACCTCTTTGTTCCTAGGTTGATGCTCATCTGGCTGGAATCTCCATTTTTCTTTTTATCCAATCCTAGAGATTTTCCCACTTTGCTTTCTCCCACCTCCTTATCAACCACCAATGGATTTCATGTACCTTCCTTAAGTTCTCTCCTTTGATTCTAAATGCATAAAAAGGAATGCAAAACTGCCATTCTCTGGAGCATTTTCTCAATCCATTGACATCTTGCTTCTGCTCATGTCCTCAAAATTGTAGCTCAAATAACTCTTATAAAACTTTCCTATGGGTTTGGACATTCTTTTGTTGATACCTGGCAGAAGGCATGTGCTAGGTTTCAAAAGAGTAAGTCCAGACCCTCCAGTGTGGCTCAGTAGTTGAGCATCAACCCATGCACCAGGAAGTCACCAGGTTTGATTCCTGGTCAGGGCACATCCCCAGGCTGGGGACTAGATCCCCAGCAGGGGGCATGCAGGAGGCAGCTGATGGATGTTGATGTTTTTCTCTCATCAATGTTTCTCTCTCTCCCTTTCTCTCTAAAAACAATAAAAGGACATATTTTTTTTAAAAAAAAAAAAATGAGT